TTCATGCAAAAATCATTATTACTGTAACATTAAGAAAATCAAACTTCCAGAAAATCAAATTTCTCTTAAAATTGTTTTTTGTAATTCTCAAATGGAAGGTAATTTCATCCATCCGTTATCCTTTTTTAAATTTACAACAAAAATTATTCCTAATCAAACTTGCTCTTTTTATATTATATTTGATTATGTGATTGATTTGATCCATCCAATTATTTTTAGCTTAAGATGGTCAGTTTTCATTCATTAACAAATATTACTGCTTCATGAAATATTTTAATTTGGAGATTTTTAAAGGATTAAATAAACTGGAGTTTGTGTAGTTGATCAGAATATTTCACTTTCATGATAGAATTTTAGATAAATATTATTTCAGTTTGCAAAATAGCCAAATTTATAACATTTGTTTTAACCAAATTTATAACATAAAATTTTAATTTTTTGTTTTGTCAAAAAAAATTGAATGTAATCTCAGTTAAGCTTTTTTGATTTTTTATTTAAATGAAAAGGCAAATTGAATTAAAAGTCACTGAAACTTTAATAGTTTCATTCGCAAGATTTCTAGCAAATGAATTAATTCTTAAATGTGTCATAATGCCATAATAGACTTTAGCTATAAGTTACTTCGATAACTTTAACTGAAAAAGTTTGAAAAAACTTTGCGTGTTTGAAATTGCGCTCACTTTGCTTTATTTTTCAATATAAATATTTTAATTTTGCAGTTTTTTTTCAATAGAAATTAATTATTACAATTAATGAATGTAATTTTAATATGTATTTTTCTATTTATATGCAAATTAGTAATTAAGCGATTAAAATTTCTGCGTAAAACTTCAAAAAATACAAATTGTTTGTTAATAAATTGCGATTTTGAAAGTACAATGAATATTTCAGTGAATATAATTGTTTTTGAACAAAATTTTAACAAAAAACATTGCATAAATAGATTTAAACCATTAAAGATAGCAATAATTTTTGTTGTCTTCAACACTAATTTGCAGAAACGATTTAACTCCAAAGAATATTCAGGACTTTCCGTGAATGTAACAAAAAAAAGTGCATTTTGCTGTAATCAAAGTGAAATTAATAATACACCTAGTAAGTAATTAATTACTAATTGTTCTGTTAGATTTTAATAATTTCCAACTGATATCATTTGAAATTTTAAAAATTAATCAACTACAAAGTCTAAAAAAATTGTAAAAAGTACAAGAAAAACACTATAGACTTGTTTTACATAGCCCGGAATAGTTTGAGTTAAATTATATATTTATATATAAAGTTAATTTTTTATAATTACCTCAAATAGCCTTAATTTGTTTCAAATTGCTTAAAATACTTCTGTATATTTTCTCTTATTAATTTTTTTCTTACTTATAATTGAAATGTAAAATATTCGCTAAAAGTCAGTTAAAAAATTTTAAGCACTTTTTCAGCTTGTTCTACTACTGCTACAGGAAGTAACAATATGCGTGTATCAGCTCTTGGCGAACGATCACCGCAATCGTCTTCAGATTCAAACGATGTGGGCCAGGTCTGATTATTTTATGCTCTACTATCTACATTATTCATATTTGTGTCATATTTATAAACATATTTTAAATAAAAAATTGAAAGAAATGATTTAATCTGATGATAAATTTTAATTCTCATAGATGAGTTCAAAAAATCAAATTATCACTTCATATGATTTTGATAAAAAATGATTATTAAAAAATGAAGTGATTAGTAGTTTCTTCAAATTTTCAAAATTGTAATAATTAATATAAAAATTAATTTTTACTTATTCTTCATATTAAATTGGATTTTCCAAATTATCAAAGTATTTCAAAGTAAATTGCTATCACAATTATTTATCAAAGAATAAAATAAATGATTGGTTTTTTCAAATTTTGACATTATACCAACTAATAATAAATATTATTATTGAATCACAATATATAACCATTTATGAATACTTATGATTTCATTATGACATTTGATTTGAAACCCTAAATATTCAGCTTTAATCTCAATCTCAAGTTATACTTTATACTTTATGCTTCTTATGTTTATAAGAATAAAGCAAATGCTTAATAAAGTTACCCACAATTTTTTGGCTTGGATTTGTAATCAAAATGGTATGGAATGAACAATTTATAAAATAATTCATAAATAAAAGACAACTTGGGATTTATAACATAATGCAGTAAATGGTTTTATGGTTTATACTTATTATACCATTGAATAATATTATTTTTGTAGAAGTATTGAATTAAATTTTATAGGAATTAATCACAGCACATGTATATTATTGATTATAAATGATCAGAATGATCGATAAATTACAGATTTCAATGAACTTAATGCGTGTAAACGGAGTAATTGCACCTTTCAAAAGCTTACTTACAAGTTCGACAAATTTTGGTAGTCCTCTGGTTTCTGCTTTGAGAACGAGCGGTCGAAGTGCCTCATCGTTACAACTTGCTCGTATAAACAGTCCTAAAAAACTACAAGCAACTGGCCAACCTCACACTGTAGAAAATAACTTCTGTAAAAATACAAGTCGATTTCAAGTTGAAGTACCAATTTTTAATCTTACTGGTAAATATTTTTAATACTATTAAGTATACTTTTTTTTCTAATCACACTATCAGTTTTTTAATTGCTACATACAGTAAATATATTAAGTGTAAGATTATGCATAAATATTAAAAAAATTTCCATCCAAGTAGTTTATCTAATAATTTATGCATGGTGTTGCCTTGGTAACTGTAGAAATTTTATTAAGTTTTGCCCTATGCTTGGCAACTACACGGTAATTTTTAATACTTATTGTTCAACACTTGACGTACTTTTTTTGCAAATTAGCTATTTTATTTTTTTACATAAATGAAATATTTTATGCTTTAATATGATTTTTTTGAAAAAAGTTTCTTATGCGACTAATAGGGTTCAAAGTGTTCTTTCAAATTTGTGCTTGCTAACTGTAGTCATTTATGCACAGTTTGTTAGCAGAAAATAAAGTAGTTGGAGATTTTTTTATTAATTATTTTTTACAATAATATTTACAGTAATTTTTTACTGTGAATGACCCCAGTCTTGGTACATAAATTACTGCAATGGTTATTGTAATCTGTTTCTTCTTAACACCAATTTATATTGAAAAATAAACAACAGTCAGAAGTTCTCATTTTGCATTTTACTCGTCGCTTATTGAGCTTAATTAATTTTAAACAGAATACTTTGCTTCTTTTATTCGAGATTAAATATAAGTCTTACAACTTAATTATTTTAATTAATTTATTTTTCGATTTTGTCATATTTTTGTCTTACAACCAAAATAGTATTAATAAGCAGTGAGTTTAATTTTATAAATTAAATTTACTACACCACAAGTTTTGACTACAAGTTACTGCAAGTTGTAATATTTTGGATAAACTTTTGGCAATTTATGATTGGAAAAATTTTTTTGAGCTAATTCTTGGAAGAATTTAAACATTTTTCAATTGTATTTTTATTTGTAAAATTTTCATTTTTCAGCTGTTATTGTATAATTTTATTTATCATAAATCGTAATAGTAAGCAAAAATTCAAATAATACAAATTCATATATTTCTGCAAACTGAAGTCCGAAAAATTGAACCACAAATTCTTGCAGTTAAAATAACGGAACCATTTATTTAACCTTTATTAACCTTTTTTAACCTTTCAAATTAGATTAAGAATTAGGCATTACTGATTTAGTTTGAATTTTTTTAGCTCAAACAAAAGAACAAATATTTAAAATATGCCAAATTACTGCATTTACTGCAATATTTACCAAACTATCGGTGAATAATTCAATTTGCAAACTAATATCACACAGAATTGCTCTTTTATCCACTGAATTCTTAAATAAACATAAACAAATCAATTAGTTTTCTGCTAAATTTGCTATATTCGTTTTATTGTCCGATAGAACATTACATTTTTCAACAAAATGAATACTTTTTAATGAAAAAATCTTTCGAGCAGACAATTTTCTCACTTTCACATTTAATTCTTCTCGTCGAATTACTCTAAATTGCTTATTTTGTGGTGTTCTTCAATTCATAATTCTTTCTGAGGCTTTGTTTGTTACTGAGAATAATAAGGCTTTTCCGCTTTTTCTGGCAGATAAAGATAGTCGAGAGAAGTTGGAAGTTGCAGAAATTCACTTATATATATTGAAAAACTAACTTATTCTATTAACTTTGTAAATGTTAAATAATAATGATTAATAAAATTGAATCAATATCGCTCATATCGAGGCTAAAAAGTAGTGAGTGTCAAAGTAATTACACTGAAAAGAACACATCTTGCAAATTAACTTTCAAGCACTGGGTTGATTAATAGTAAAAATATAAAAAAAATTGATATGTAATATATATATATTTGTTTATTTTGACAGTTTTCTTAATAATTTTAAGATACCTTACATTTTACTCTTACAGAAAGATTTAATCTCATTCTAAATATATTATATTCAAATTATAACATGTAGAACTTCTGATAAGCGTGAGAGTTATCACATGTAAAATATACGTGATTAATTCAGTAAGATACTATGAGGTTACCAATTTTGAAAACTATTATGCTCGAAGTAAATTATTTGCAGGCAATAAAAAAGTAGCAGAGAATCGAGCGTTGAAAAAAAGATTGAAGTGAACAGTTTAAATTGTTCAGATGTAGTACAAGATTTGCTAAATTTCTAAAAAAAGAACAAATTTTTCTGAAGCAAATTTAATTTTCCGCAAGAAAGCGTTTTTTCATTATTATTAGTAAACGGAAGGCTCGTTATTTCTGGTAATCTGAATTTTGGCATTGCTTAGAACAATCTACTTTCTTAGCTGACACAATTCATAAATTGCTCTGCGTAGTACAGCAAGTAGATATTTCCAGTACTAAACTATTAATTATTTATCTCTGGCTCTCCACTCTTGATTTCTTACTTAGTGGGCTTAAATATGGTAACATCTTGTTGCTAATGATTGAATAATCTGGTATGAACTAGCACCTGATGACTTAAATAACTATCAGCGCTTAGATAAGTTAATTTCGATGAGAATTCCCTGAGAAAACAACTACAATTTTAAATTTGTGCTTAATGTACGGTTAATCCATTATTAGATCTTAATTAATGTCAAGAAAATTTATTTCTTAGCTCTGTTATCAGTTTTATTATTAATTTTTCTTATTGATTTGATATCAAAATAATTACGCACTATTTTGACTTTCAATAAAGTCCTAAGACGCAAAAATTTTTTTAACTTAAAATTTGAATATTTCTTTACTTAGTCACAATTTTTAGGCAAGCACTATGTTATTCATTTGTGAATATTTCACCAAATAACAAACTTCTTACTGCTACTTTCAAAATTTGTCAAATTTAGAGTAGTTATTTGAATTTTTTTAAATTCTGAAACCTTACAAATAAATCAGTCAAAAGTTTTATTTTTCCGCCAATTATCACTAATGAACTTTTTTTGAAGTTGTATGATAAGTTGAATAGTACAAACTTTTGCACAAAATTTTCAAATTACTTTACACCAAATTTTAAAATTCTCTTGAATTCAACTTTGCTTGATGTTTACAAAAACCTTTTCTTTATAGTTTTAAGTTAAAAAATTTTGTATTTATATATTTTAATAAATTTTATATAAACTTAATGGCTTCATTGAAGACTTTTCAGCATTACTTACAAATGAAATATTTGATTTGAAAGTTTGGCATTAATATATTCCGTTTCGGATTACTTTGACATTATAGCTATAGAAGCTGAAGCAGCGAATAATAATAATTTCATTATCGCACATATTGTCTAAGTGTAATATTAAAAATTTGAATGCTAATTTGCAATATTTTTAGCACTTCTTTGATAATTATGTTCTTTTTTTTCAAAGTATATAATCTTACGATTTCTTTTATTGGAATTTGAACGAATTTTGAATAGATTTCAATTAATATTGCTAAAAATATATTAGCCTTTAGAAGAAATAGTCCAGCAACTAAATTAGCCTAACAAAGCACTATCAAGCATTTTCTGATGCTTTGCTAGTGCTTTTTTAATAACTGCAAAAATTGCCTCAGGATTATATGCTTGCTATTTCTATCACATAATTATAATATCTATCTCGCTTATTATATCTCTCACTAAACTCTCTAAATCAAGTAAGTTAGAAAAATGTATTTTAGCTTTGTTTTTATTAATAAAACAACAAAAAAACAAAGTGGTGGATGATTGTAATAAAGTAGACTATTCGAATTTCATTACGCTATTTTTATAAAAATTGCTAGCACAGCTTATATTTTAGTACAAAAACATTGCAGAAGAAACTGTAAAATTTATTTTGTTCTGAAATATATTTAGTGAACATAAAATTTAAAAAAGCACTAAAACTAACTCTGTCTGAGATGAAAATCTATTCTCGCGGTTTTTTTTTAGTCAAATTTATTCCCAAACAGTTTTAAAATGTGTGACTTTGAGATTATGTAATAATTTTATGCATTTTCTTGATCAGAAAATTTTTTGCCATTTCAATGCTTAAAAAGTTAGTCAAAACTTTTAATTGTTATATTAATGATTGAAAACGGTTTTATTTATTTTAGAATATATATCAGTGATAAAATACTCTTGCTGATTTATTCCAAGTATAAAAAAGTATTTTATCAAAGATATATCGAAAGTTTAGGTGCTGATGGAAAAACTTTTGTATGCATTGTGTTTTCATGCATTAAAGTGCTAAAGTTTGAAAGTATTTGAAGTTAGAAAGTATATATCTCATTACAAGAAAGTATTGGATACAAAAATGGTCATGAATGATAAAAATCGAAAATTTGCGACTGTAACATTTTCTGCTCCAGTATTTAGTAATAATTTGCATCAGTCATATAATGTTATAATCGATAATGATGGTGATGAAGATAATGGAGATGATAACGGTGATGATAATGGTGATGATGATGATGATGAACAACGTAATCATGGTGAAAATAGTCATGAATATAGTCATGATCAACACGTTTTAATCCCAGAGAAAGTTAACATTGCAATGTCAACTTCATCGTCATTAATTTCAATGTTGGAAAGAAAAAATTCTATTAGTAATACTTCTAAGCGCTTAGTTATGGATTCAGAATCAGAAAAAAACAAAATCAGAAGTATTTCTGAAACTAGCCATAAGTTTTCAATGATTACAAGCCGTGATACAAGACAAAAATGCATTTTAAAATACAAATCATTTGATATTGATAACAGTGATGATAAAAGTATTACTTGTGATTACGGCGATGAAGCGATTTTGAAAAAAGTGATCAATTCTTGGAAATATTCGCGTAAGTTCTAAAAATTAATCCATGTAATTTGTGTTTGTGGTAATAAAAGAAAACTTTTATTTTTATTATTGATAAGTATTTTTTTGTAAAAATGTAACGTTCTTGAAATAAGTTTGTCTGAATGAATTTTGTATTTATATATATAATGATGATAGTCAGATAAATAGACAGATAGATAGATAGATAGATAGATAGATAGATAGATAGATGTTTGCTTAAAAATATGATTATTTTTTGTGAAGGCCAGTAGCCAATTATTTGTTAATCACGGATATAAGTGACTAATGTAAATTAAAAATGGCAGAAGTTTATTCCCAACTCAATTTCTGTGTGCTTACTATTCCAAAAAGTCGAAAACAGACATACAATGCATAGTGTTTGGAAAGGATTTAAATGTATTTTTTAATTTTTTTTGCTTTCATAAATATGAAATGAATTAAATTTGAATAAACAAGTTAACATGATCAAAATTTTGATTCCCTTAAGCATAGTTAGGGACTATAATGAAATAAATACATGCAAACAAATTGAATTAAATTAAATAACAATGCTTTGAATAAAATACTTCTATCTTAAGAATTATGTAAAATTATAGTTTTCAATATAGTTTTGATGTTTTAATTAATTAAAACCACTTTGAAGATGAAAATAAATTAATTACTTTGGCCACAAAATTTCGATTAGCGTTACTTAAATTAAAATTTAATAAGTTATTATTTATTTTCTTCAAACAAAATTAAGTTTAAATATCATTTTGACTGCTTTTTTCACTTTATCAGTTTTCATTAATAATAGAAACTATGTTAAACATTAAAATATTCAGTTTTTCACTGATTTTTTTTTCAATACTTTTTTCGTAATGACAATACCGATAATTTAGTGCGACGATCATTATTAGTCAAATATGACTACTGCAGAATCGAAATTACATACCAGTACCATTCACTAGATACCATGTTTTAATATAAAATAGAGTACCAGGATAGCCTGGTTGAATGGATAATCAAGGACTATAATTACCTGGATTAATGAATATTCAAGTACAGTATGGCATGGCAGAATTATGTAATTAAAATTGCAGTATTTTTCAGAAGAGCAAAATTCAAAAAAGTCATTATCGCTCGTACTAAGTGAAGATTTAGAAGGTCAACGAGCAGGAAAGAATGACTTGCAGACTCCTTTAATGAAAGAAAAGGAAAACAGGTCAGCTGTCGACAAAAATCAAAATTTGATAATTGCAGTTATGTAATTTTGAAAACTTTTTCTAAATACAATTTAATTTGCTTTGAATTTCATATATTACCTTTATAAATCACTATTTTTTTGCATTTTTGTTTCAGACAAATTCTTAAGATTGCATTTGTTTTTCTCTTTCATTTATTTATTTATTCATTTCAGTTACATTTAATACAAATTGATGCTAACAATTCTTTCGCTAAACACTAATCCACGTCCATTTATCGCACATTTTGCGTACAGAATTGTACGATTCAAATTATGATATAATTTAAATTGCAGTCGAATGTTTTTCATTATTTTGTTCAAAGCATTAAGAGCGTTTTTTAATTATAACTTCTAAAAAGCAATTAAAATTTTGATTTCGATTCTTTTTCAGTAGTGATCGTTTAATTAGGCGTCAACAATTATTTTACATGCGACGAATTATCAGCAATTATGCTTTATTCTTTGCAACTATAGGCATCGGTCTGTTTAATACAAAATTTTTGAATTTAAAGCTTTTCGAAAATTTAAATTTAAAATTTTGATGAAAATTATTAAATTTTAATAAATTTCAGTTATAATGATAATTGAGAATGAAATGCGAGCTGCTCAAATTTTTGAAAAGGTATGCGTAAACTTTATTTCAATTATAGCAGTAAATAATAAAAAAAATAAAAAAATGCAAAGTAAATTTTTCATAGATAAATTGAAAAAATCAAATATCAAAATTATAAAAACGTATTATATTTTTATCACAAAGCTATTTATAATGATAATTACGTTTTGGATAAAATTTTAATCCTTTATTTGCTTAATTTAATATATTTTTAGGGATCATTCGTGAGCTTAGCAATGAAAACACTGATTGTGCTAAGTACTATAATTTTAGTTGCACTTGTCATCAAATTTCATGTTCATGAAGTACAAGTTAGTATTTATGTTCAAATAATCGAAAAGTAATCAGACAAATAATAGATGAACATTTTTAATGAGCAGTAGATTATAATCTAATTGCTGTTGTAAAATATATATTTGAAAACAAATTTTAATGCCTCTAAAATACGGTAAATTTTATCTCATTTTTATATTTGAATAAATAGTTTAATAAGTATTAAAAATAAAGAAGCAATGAAAATCGCAAATTGATTAATTTTGTGAAAATTGGTACTTATTAAACTATTTATTCAAATATATAAACTATGTATTTAGATATAAATTTTTAACAGACGGAATCAAATAGCGTCGCGAAGATTTTTTCGAAAAGTAAAAAGTAATAGTGCTGGTAATTCAAGATTAAGCATAACTATTTGATAATAAGAGTTATAAACATAGTTATATTGAGCAGCTTTTTCCATTTTTTCGCATATTTTTATTTATTTTTTGTTTTTCGCAAATTAATTATATATGTCATTGATTTACAATATTCAACTAATTATGAATATATAATTGATTATTGTACTAGTTATACCGTTATATGCTCTTACAAAGTCGGGTAGAATCACTTTTTATCTTTATCTTCTTGCACAGTTCGATGATGATATCAATATTTTTATTAATAAAAATTATTATTATTATTATTTTGTATTATTGTTATTATTATTATTATTGTTATTATCATTATATAACAAATCAATTTTATGTATTGCAAAATTTAAATTACTAATTAAAGTCTGAGATAAATTTTTATGTGATTAGAAGGAAATTAGTTCTATTTTAGCTATTTATGATAGCAAACAGTGCAGAAGACTGGAGAATTGCTATTACATGGCCTCGAGGATTACAAATAGCATTGGAAATTGTTGCTTGTGGACTGTGTCCAATTCCAATTGATATTAGCTTTCATTGGTCAACGACTGATGGCAGTGAGGAAATGGTGAGAATTGAATTCCAACAAATGAATTAAAATTAGCATATAAATCTGAGAAAGGATATGATTTTGATGTTTGATTGAAATGAACTACTCAATTTATTGAATTTAAAATTATAAAAATTGATAAAATCATACAAATTATTTACGCAAGAGGTAAAATTTTTTATTTTAACTAAGTAATTTTCAGAAAATAAAAACTTAAAAATAACGTTAATTCTCGCTTCTGTCATATTCAATTTCTGAGTGCTTACTTGTGCATTATTTATTTATTTTTCTGAATTTTTATTAAGCTATTAAGCATTTAAAAAGGCACCAATTTTTTTCAACAGAATACAGTTCATTTTCCAATTAAATAATTATATTGGGAGCATTTTTCGTGTACTTTTGTATGAGCTAATTCTTCATTTGAAGGTAAGTTTTTTCAATTTAGTGCTTTAATTTTAGTTGCCTTCTTTTGTATTCAAACTTATTTTGAATATCTGTCAATTTCATTTTAGGTAAAAACGTCAGAATTACCACTTGACGTGCTCTTATCAATCCCAATGTTTTCTCGATTGTACTGGTTATGTCGTGTTATGCTCTTACATAGTCGGTTAGATTCAGTTTTTATCTTTTATCTTCTTGCATAATTCAGTAGTGATATCAATATTTTTATTAATAAGAATAATAACACTTTTTGATTAAGTCTAAATTTCTATAACAGGATAATTGTTATCGGTAATTCATAAATAATTTGCGCTAAATATAAATTAGTACTGACTGCTTTTATGATTTAAGATTGTTTACTGATGCATCCTCAAGGAGTATCGCTGGCCTTAATAGGGTGAATTGTAATGCGCGGTTTATTCTCAAAACCCTTATGACATTATGTCCAGGTGCGTTTTATTAATGTAATATTCGTGCACGTTACACGTTGCGCTAAATTTTTTGGATTTAAACACCAATTGTTTGTTTAACTTTGCTAACTACTCCAAGATTGAGCACGAAACTAGACGTCTTTTAAAAAAGAAATTAAATATTGAAATTAGGAGTTTTTTGAGTCAGTAATTTAATGTATAGTTCCACTGAGTTGTTAATTGAGGTACTATGCTGATGGTATTCACTGCATCGCTGTGGATAATAGCAGGATGGATTTTACGTTTGTGCGAAAGGTTTATTATTAATTTGTTAGATACTGTGTCTTTTTTGTTAGATACCTGGTAATTACTTACAAATATCACTAAAATAAATTTATTTTATTACTATTAAAAAAATGTAATCTTATATGAAACGAACTAACAACTGAAGCTTCATGTAAGTTGAAAGTTTCCAGACAAATCTAACAATAAAATAATCATTTCTCAGATTACATATTTCTGACTTGACTCCTTCAAGATCCAAATTTTTTCAATTTTTATTGACAGATACATTTTTGAATTCAAAAATATAGTTCTTATGAATGTTTCCTTAAAATTTTTAGTTTTAATAATAACTTTATCTATGAAATTTTTTTAGAGTTTTCAGCGTACATTTTTATTCTTATTCTTAGCAAGCTTATATGAATCTTAAATTATTCTGCATTACTTAAGTAAATTATGCTTCCATGCATATAGATGAAGCAAAAATGTAGGAATTGAAAGCATTTTGAGAACAAAAATTTTCAATATTTTGTGCTATTTTCATTTCACTTTTGAATGCTTGCTAATAAATATGATTAATAATAAATTTGTAGGGACTACGTGGGTAATTCATTGAACGTTCACGCGTTAAAGCATCAAAATTATTTTGATTCTTTGTGGCTTATTGCTATAACTTTCTTATCGGTTGGTTATGGTATGTTTTAATAGTTTTAAATAAGAAATCTATTTGTCAGCTTGAAATGATTCAAATAATGAGACGATTTGGCACAACTTTAAAATACTTTTACTAAAATGAAACACATAAAATATTGCAATATTTTCTTACAAAGTCATATAATGTTATGTGAAAATGCCAGTCATAATATATAATCTGATATTTAATGACTATATTAAAAATCTAATCCATAAGCTGTTTTCTTTTATAATATGTATTTCAATATTTTGCAGTAAAGTAAATGAAACTGGCTATAAACTATTTCAGGAGGATAATTTCTTTATGGCAAGTAAGAGAGAAGTATTGTAAAAAGCATTAACTGTAATTTTGTAATAACAATATCTTTTTGATATTAAGTAACTTTGACAAATTTAGAGTAAAATTGTAGGTGACATTGTGCCAAATACTTGTTGTGGACGAGCAATGGCTGTTATCACTGGTATTTTGGTGAGTTACATAAATTATTAATCTTGTAAACAGATTTATAGTTCTGAACAATTTTTATTTACTTTTTAGATATGATGAAAATAAGTTGTTGTTTTTTTTAGCATAAAGCATTATGTAAAAAGTTTATTAAAAAATTATTGATGAAAAAGTGAAATAGTGCTAATGATTCAAGGGTACATGCACATCTTCAATGGTTGTTGCTGTAATAGCACGGAAACTTGAATTATCTCGTGCTGAAAAACATGTACATAATTTCATGATTGATACACAACTCACTAAGCAGGTAAGTTATTATTTATAATCATTAACATGAATCTCAATATTTATTAATATTTAATAACGTGTACTGACTGATATTGACTGATAGAAATCAGAAATATTTTTGTAAAATAAATTTTTTAACTTACTGCTTATTATTTTATTTGTTTAATAATGCATAACTGCTGTTGAATTTTAGTTAAAGCATACAGCAGCTAACGTTTTGCGTGAAACATGGCTGATTTATAAAAATCGGTTTTTAGTGGATAAAATTGAACCAGCCAAAATTCGAATGCATCAACGCAAATTCTTAGTAGCAATTTATGCGTTAGTTATTTTTTAAATCAAATACTTAATATTTTG